ATTTAACTTTATAATGCTATAACTTATTGAAAAGTTTATGGATCCACACAATTTTTTTATGAGAAATAATATTTTTTAATAAACCCTTTTTCATTCGACATACTTTATCTTAATCGAGATATTAATAAGGAACCAGCAGATCAAGTAGCTTTTGGAATAAAACACCAATTTTTTTAAAATTAAACACTATCTAAAGATTTGCATCGAAGCGTTTATTTTTGATAGTGATTTTAATCACTATCAGATATCATTATACTTGATCCAACTATGCCACGTCACCACTGTGCCGCGACCCCCCTGTGCTGGGTTTTTTTAACTACTTTAAAAATTACATATGTATTTATTTTGCCCTAAAGTTATAAATAGTTAAATTATATTTTTTTCATATATTTTGAGATCTATTATAAGGTGAGTTAATAATTTTCTTATCTATCAGTGCTAATACTTTCAGGCACACTTTTCATTTTATGCCACCTAAAACCAGGTTTTTCAGGTAGTTTAAGGCATTTTTAGAAGGCAGAAAGTTGATTAAAGATGAACCGCGCAGTAGAAAACTGCAGAAAACTATAAAAATATCATCATTATTTGGAATCTTGTCTGATCCTATTGTTGGTTGACAGTTATAATGATTGGAGAACAGTTGGAATTAACCAATACCACTTTTCATTAAATTTTAACCATTGATTTAGAAATAAGAAAAATTTGCCCAAAAATGATTTTGAAAATTTAGTCAAAAGACCAAAAAAAAAAACAACAGGAAGGACTGGTGTCTTGATTTTTTGGAGCAGATTGAAAATTACCATTCTTTCTTAAAATGTGTCATTACTGGTGACAAATCATGGATTCTTTAGTATGACCCAGAAACAAAGCGCTAGAGCTAAGAATGGTATACATCAGCTTCATCAAGATAAAAAAAATGAAAAAAGAGCAAGTCAAAAATCAAAATCATGTTGATTTGCTTCTATGATTGAAAATTTTTGTAACTTAAGGCCAAACAGTCAATCAACACTTTTATAAAGAAGTTTCTGAAGGTCTTCGAGAAGGGGTCATTGGTGTGAGTCTAAACATTAAAAACACTTGCGTGTTTTAGATCATGACAATGCCCCTTTATCTTAGCCATTTCAGTTATCCAATTTTTGGCAACCAAAAATAATCTCATGGCTACTCAACTCTCCTATTCACCCGACTTGAGCCCTTCTGAATTTTTTCTCTATACAAGAATAAAAATTCACCTAAAAGAACGAAATTTTGGAAAACTAGAAAATATTTAAATGTTTGTGACTGACCAACTGAAAGCTATTCCAGTAACTGAATTCCAGAACAGCTATGAATAATAAAAACATAGACTCCAGTGCTGTGTGGATTTCCAGAGCAATTACTCATTCACATTGTATACCTAACTGGCAAATACAAATGAAAATAAACACACACACACAAAATCTATTATTTATCAATTAGGTAGAAGCAATTTTGCTTAACACCTACCTGGCAAAAACAATAAAAACACATACACAAAGAGGTTAAGTTCAATAATGACAGTAAAATTATTACATTATATTTATATAATATACATTTCTATAACAAATAACATTTTAAACAGTTTTCTTCATCTTGCTGCCAATAAACTCCTTAATATTAAAAATTACTCAGGCTAAAATCTAATAAGCTTCTTAATTATAAACAAGTTAATATTTAAAATCATAATCAAAATAAATAATTTGTTACTATTTGATCAACAATTTAACTGAACTTTATAATTGAATTGGAGATAGCAATCTACTCAGGGGTATAGTTAAATGTTGTAGAGAATTGGCATCCACATAATTCTTATTAATGTGCTCTCAAACATAATTCCTAAAAAACAGACAAAAATTGACTAACTGATCCATTGTATTCTGCCACATAACGCCCCTAAATAAGATTCAATAATTTAAAAAATATTGAATTATTAAACTTCAATATTTTATTAAATAAATTGACAAGTGTCTTGTTAGTTTTACTGGTAAATTTAATTATTTAATTACTAAAAATCAGCTTAATGAATGTAATAATGATATAAATTATACATAAAATAAAGTAGTTTATAATTTAAATAATTAAATTGTATTATTTCATAATTATCTGATGGTGATTTAAATCACCATCAGATTTACTAACTGTACTAGGTTTTTTATAAGAAATTATTTATGCTATAGATTTTTACCAAAAAGTTACCAAGCTGTATTAGCTAGTGCTACACTTTCTGAAGATGTTCTTAAATTAAAAAAACTACTTTTACATAATCCTGTAACTTTGAAACTTCAAGAACCTGATTTAGCTCCATTATCACAATTGTCTCATTTTACATTAAATGCTGAAGAGGAAGATAAAGCTGTAATTTTATACTGTTGTTTCAAATTGAGGCTTATTAAAGGAAAAACAATAGTTTTTGTAAACACTGTTGATAAATGTTACAAGTAATTTTTTATTTTTATATTTTATGTATTATGTGTTGCATTTTTTGTTACTAATTAGACATTTAAAAAAAATGTATTTCAATATAGCCAATGAAACATTTTTTTAGGTTAAAACTATTTTTAGAACAATTTGGTGTCCAGAGTTGTGTTTTAAACTCAGAATTACCTGCTAGTTGTCGATGTCATACTATATGTCAGTTTAATGATGATGTATATGATGTAATAATTGCATCTGATGAAAATTCGTTGGATGAAGAACACAAAATACAATCAAACAAAACCAGGTAATTTAAATCTGTTTATTTAATATAAATATATTTTACAATTTTTAAAATTAGTTTATTACATTTACATTGTAAAAAATAAGGAAATATTTTGTGATGAAAATAAGCAGTTCTAAAATTGAAAATATCATATTTTTAGTTTATTAGGAAGTAATTTATAACACAGGCTTACAAAAAAAATATTTTTTATTAGTGCTGCTCTGTTTGTATTTGTAGTTGGTAAGGTGTATGAACTATGTCGCCACTAATTAATGTCAGCTGACAGTTCTGGTTTACCTACTATTCTCATTTTATTCGTTTCTTCCAATATTAATTGAAAACAGTCAACTTTGCAATAACTCTTATGACATTTCTCTTATTATTTTATTATGGAAAATAAGTTAAAACATTGTGCGAATGAACCTGATATGTTTTGTTACATTGTGATGAAAATATTTTGAAAGATCAGTAAAAATTGATTACTGACACTGTTGTTTGCTTGTATTTTTTTACTATGGTATTGAAATTCTCAACTAAATTAAAGTATGGGTACCTCATAGTGTTTGTAAAATATGCATTGAACATTTGCTGTAATGGGAAAAAGAAACACAAAAAATGTTGAGGTTTGGAGTACTAATAATTTTGTATAAACAAAAAAATCATCATAACGACTGTTATTTTTTTATGACCTAGTAGTAGGCAACAACCAAAATAATCACCATACGTGGAAGTATCCCAATATTTCTTAAGCTATAAAAACTATTCCTCATTCAAACACTGTTCCAATACTAGTTATTCATCAGGTAGTACAGGAATCTGAAGAAGATTAAATGGAAGTGCCTGAAGAAAATGATATGGAATTTCGATGGTTATTCTGAATCTAACTTTAGGTTTTTACCATTACATTTAGTTTTTGAGATAATTACTCGTTAGTAATTAAACAGAAAGCACAGTATTTATAACAAATTTTAAAGATTTTCGATTATTTTTTATATTAATAGCAATTTTTAGATTCGAAGTGAAGCTGAGAAGATATTAATTTTACTACAACTTTTTCAACTTAACTTTTGAAATTGTTCCTGATATACTGACACTTTTATATATATCTTAAATAAAAGCTAATGTAATATACTTTATTATGTGAAAAAAAAATATTCGGACTTTACTTTGTCTTCACAGTGAAAATGGCTTCCAAATGCTATTTTTGTGTGAAAATTGTCGATTTTAATTTTTATATTTTTAACTTTATAATGCTATAACTTATTGAAAAGTGTATGAATCAACACAATTTTTTTATGAGAAATAATATTTTTTAATAAACCCTTTTTCATTCGACATACTTTATCTTAATCGAGATATTAAGGAACCAGCAGATCAAGTAGCTTTTGGAATAAAACACTAATTTTTTTAATTTAAACACTATCTAAAGATTTGCACCGTAGCTTTTTTATGATAGTGATTTTAATCATTGTTAGATATTATTATACTTGATCCAACTATGCCACGTCACTACTTTGCCGAGACCCCCTTGTGCTGGGTTTTTTCTAATTACTTAGATAAACTATGAAACCGGTTTCTTAATATATCATTTTCTATCATAGAAAATTAGGCTGTCAATAGAAAAAAGGATAACAATTTTTATTAATGAATAATGTCTTCATCGGCAATAGAAGTCATCCCAGACAGTATTTATCATGCATAGTTGTGTTCAATTTAGCTGGATTGTCCTACTTAATTATTTATAAAAATAATTAAATAATTATAATAATAATAAAAAAAATTGCCACTTTTTCTCAGCTCTCACTGGACCGATTTCTTTCAACAATACGTCAAAAGATCACAAATCGTTAGATTCCCATTCAGCATTAAAATTTCTTATGTATATCATTCTTTTAATGCTAGCCATTTAATTAAAAGTACATTTTATAGTATATAACATAACCTTTGATATATGTTTAAAGGACGCAGTATTTCCAGAACATTTTTAAAAGTTCAGTTAAAAAAGTTCTATTAGCTTCGATGCGAAGCTGAGAAAGTATTAATTTTACCATGTGTTTTTTTTTTAAATCTGTGGCCACTTTTTCTCAGCTCTCACTGGACCGATTTTTTTCAACAATAAGTCAAATAATCACAAATCGTATCTAGTTGAAGACATTACCCTTAAAAATTAAAAATCGGTAAATTTTGTTATTTTTTTAACTTTTCTTAAAACTTCCATAACTTTTTCAAAAATAAACAAATCAACATAATTTTTTTTTATACTAAAACCTTAGATATTTCCCTTTCATTTGATATCATTTTTTTGAAAATTTAACACTTAACCTGCTCATTGGGAAAGATTTAAAATAGCAACTTTTTTACAAAAACTAACTTTTTCAACTTAATTTTTGAAAGTGTTCCGGAAATACTGCGTCCTTTAAACATATATCAAATTAAAATTTATGTCATGTACTATAAAATGAAAAAATAAATTTGTCCCTATGACCTATCTTCTATGCGCAAATGGCTACCGTATTCAAAAATATGCTGTTTTAACAAATTTTTTTTTTTTAAATTAAACACTATCTTCAGATTTGCATCGAAGCGTTTTTTATGATAGTGATTTTAATCACTGTCAGATATCATCTATACTGGACCCAACTATGCCATGACCCCACTGTGCTGGGTTTTATTTTATTTTAAAATATCTTATAAGGGCAATACACTGCCCTATTTTTTTATAATTATTATTTTTATAATAGGCTAAATTGAATAACTTTTTTTTTATTGGTTTTTTTAGATATATAATCATTAAAATTAATTAAATTCTGAATATTTCCTTTGTAGAATCTTTTTATACGCCAAAAGTTAATTAGAACTGATCACTATGATTTTTATTTAAGTGATCTATTACGATAAAAATGTAAAAAAATCTAACTTTTCTGATAAATATACTGTAAATAATAATTATAAAATTTGCTGAGAGCATATTAATCTTAACAATTTCATTTTTATCTATTTAATAATGTCAATTTCAAACTTGCAAATTGAGCTACTTTTTTTTAATTAAACACTATCTACAGATTTGCATCGAAGCGTTTTTTATGATAATGAATTTAATCACTGTCAGATATCATCTATACTGGACCCATGTATGCCACGTCCTCACTATGCCGCGACCTCTCTGTGCTGGGTATTTTTTTTTATACAATGTTTAAAGTTTTGAACGCCCCCTAAAAAGAGTCCAAAATTATTTCGCTTGAAATTTATGTAAATTAAGCAATTATCTTTTAGGTCTATCATTAAAAAAAACCCAGCACAAGGGGGTCTCGGCAAAGTAGTGACGTGGCATAGTTGGATCAAGTATAATAATATCTAACAATGATTAAAATCACTATCATAAAAAAGCTACGGTGCAAATCTTTAGATAGTGTTTAAATTAAAAAAATTAGTGTTTTATTCCAAAAGCTACTTGATCTGCTGGTTCCTTAATATCTCGATTAAGATAAAGTATGTCGAATGAAAAAGGGTTTATTAAAAAATATTATTTCTCATAAAAAAATTGTGTGGATCCATAAACTTTTTAATAAGTTATAGCATTATAAAGTAAAATATAATATGAATAATAAAATCGAGAATTTTCACACGAAAATAGCATTCGGTAGCCATTTTCGCCGTGAAGAAAAGTCCAGATCTTTTGACGTATCATTGAAAGAAATTGGTTCGGTGAGAGCTGAGAAAAAGTGGTAACAGACACACACAAAAAAAAAAAAACAATAAAAAAAAAACATCTTAGTAAAATTAATACGTTCTCAGCTTCTCATCGAAGCTAAAAAAGAATATATACAGTTATTGTTAAAAACTCGGATATAGGAGAAAATTTTTAAAACTAAGAAAATACCTTTAAATTGATCATTTTGACTAGTTTCTTACTACCTGTAGAGATTTACCAATTTTTTGTTAAGTTTCATGAATTTCTAAGTTAATTAATAGTAAACAAGTGCGCTTACACTTTCAATGATTTTAGCTTCGATGTTTTTTTTTATTTATTTTTTTTTTGTGTGTGTTACCACTTTTTTCAGCTCTCTTCAACTGATTTCTTTCAATGATAGGTCAAAAGATCACAAATGGTATCTAGTCGATGACATTACCCTCAAAAATTGAAAAAATTTCCCTCGTTTCCCATTAATGGGGGAAACCTCCAAATAAATTACAAATTTAAAAATCGCTAATTTTCGAAATTTTTTTCTTAAAACTGTCATAACTTTTAAAAAAATGACCAAATCAAAATAATTTTTTTTTTTATAGATGCTTGATGTCTTTACCTATCTGATATATTTTTTTTTATAAATCTGACCCTTTACCTGCCCATAGGGGTAGATTTAAAATGACAACTTTTTCACAAAAAATTAACTTTTTCAACTTAACTTTTATAGTGTTCCAGAAAGTCTTACAATTTATATATATCTTAAATTAAAGATAATGTAATATACTTTATTATGTGAAAAAAAAAAATTTCTGACTTTACTTTGTCTTCACAGTGAAAATGGCTTCCAAATGCTATTTTTTGTGTGAAAATTGTCGATTTTAATTTTTATATTTTTAACTTTATAATGCTATAACTTATTGAAAAGTGTATGGATCAACAAAATTTTTTTATGAGAAATAATATTTTTTAATAATCCTTTTTTCATTCGACATACTTTATCTTAATCAAGATATTAGTAACAGACACAAAAAAAAAAAAAAAAAACCACATCATAGTGAAACCAATACCTTCTCAGCTTCGCATCGAAGCTAAAAAACACATGGTAAAATTAATACTTCGCATCGAAGCTAAAATATAATAAACATTTAATTATAAAATCAGTAAAATTTAAAAACTTTCAATAGTAAAATATAAAAGTACAGTTGACATGTGGTTCTTAATCATAATAATATAATAATAATTCAACTTTAATAATATCTTTGGTATTAACAATATTATAAAAATTGTGTTATGAAGTAAGGTTGGGTTAATATAATTATAATATTCAAAAGTAGTTTTTAAGATTGCAATATAAATTTATGTGTGATATCAATTTTATAGCTTATTTAACAGTTGTTTTAAAAAGAGATGTTTGTATAATATTAATTAGTGTGATACGAGTTATGTATTTTTTTCATATAAAATAAACATTCTTTTGAAAAGTTAAAAATTTTATCTGTTTAATCCCACATCTATGTTGTAAATTTTATAACATTATTTAACAAAAAAATTAGCCATGAAATTTTAAAACATTTTAAAGTTTGATTGATTATTATTCACTTTATATGGATGGAATCATAGCAATCCACATTTTTTTAGCTTTGATGCGAAGCTGAGAAGGTATTAATATTTAACTTAAAAATTGCATATTTACATTAATTTAAAAAATGTGAAACATTAGTATATTGTATCACCTTACATGTTAATATTTCATTTTTTAGTAATGTGATTAATAGTTTGCCAAAAATATAAGTTCTTGTTAAAATGGCTGCAATTCCCTATTCTCCCCTAAGTTAGTTTTGTTGTATTGAGTGTAATATAATATTTTGAACCATTCTAAATGAAATTTTAAATACCCATTGAATAAAATTTTACCTTTAATTTGAAGCTACGATAGTATTAATTGTATTAAGTTATTTTCTTAAAAACTGTCCTAGTAAAAAATGTGTAAAAATTAGTTTATGTCATACATTATTCAAAAAAATAATTTGGTATTATTGTTAAAACAATCTGAATCATAAAACGGCCATAATATAAAATGATTTAGCTGTTGTATAACTAAATTATTTCTCTAGTACAGATGTATAGTTTATTTTTATCATGTATAACATTAACTTACAAATTTTTACTTAAATAATTATTACTGAGCTGTACTGAATTAAAAAATGATATTTCAGAAAAAGGCTCCTAATAAAGTAGCAGCTTTGTATTATACATTTAATTTTTTTATTCCAAAAGAAAAAACTTATTAATTTTTTTTTTTTAGCAAACGTAAACATGATAAAGAATTTGGAGTTGCCAGAGGAATTGATTTTCAGTCTGTATCTGTGATAATTAATTTTGATTTTCCATTAGATATTTATTCTTATATACACAGAGTAGGACGTACAGCTAGAGGTAAAAACAAGGTAATAAAATTTTTATTAAAAAACTTTATTATAAATACTTGAAGTAATTTTGTTAGTATTTGTACTTTTATAAAAATAAATGACAACCAACATTGAAGTATATAAGGTATATATGTATATAACTTTTATTGAGGATATAAGGTGTTTTTTTTTGGTCAGGATGTGTTAGTATGTGTTTATCGTTGATAATAGTGTAACGTCACAAATTCGAAGATGGACCGTTTATGATTTTTTTGTTATGTCTACTTATTTATTTTATCGCGCGAAAGAACCTTTTCCTGACAGCGGTGTCAATCACTCATTATTTTGCCACTGATCGCTAGATAAGGCGATAAAAGAGAAATATAATTAAAATCGAATTGTTTATCAGTATTTATCTCTTCCAAAAAGACTGGCCATTATCGATTTGAAATTGCCGTTAGATCGGTGTTGACTCTTTTTCCATTCCTTCTTCTGTAATTGACTGTGCTAGGGTGCACACGTTTATTGTTTTATTGACATTTTTATTTAATGATGGAGTAGAGCCGCCAACGGCGAACGGCCAGGTCTCTTCGGCGAGGCATCCAAGCCATCGGATGGGTCTCTTCGAAGACCGGGTATCATTTTCTTTTATATATTATATTTATGTAATGAGCTATATTTTATCGTAAATTAACTTAATTTTATTTATGTGTGGAGAGCACGTGTTTCCCTTTTCTTCTAGTGTCCAGACCGCTCCTGGTGTTTTTCATTAATTTCCGATTAACATTAACGGATGTGTTCCAATACCGTCCATGATGTTTGTAATACTATTTGTTTTTTTGTTTAAATATTTTATTTTATTTTTGTTGCCTTTATTTGTAGACATGGTTTTTGATCATTCGCATTTTTGTCCATGTTTAACTTAATTTTCTTTTTTTTAACAATAAAATTAAATTTCCTTATTAATTTCAACTGTAATATTTATTTTATTTTATTGAGTAACTTAATTACTCTCGTGTATTTTCTCCCTATTCCTTAATCTAGACACGGGCTACGGTATGTTTTACATACCAACCACATACAACTTTGATTGTCATAATTGTGTTAAATAAACCACAAGGTATTATAGTCATTTATACATAAAACGACATATTAACTTAGATAATACTTTTAATTAACTTAAAATTAAATTCCACCTATGGTCCGGTAATCATATCTGATAGGTGTGACACCTCGCCTAGGTTGGGTTGGGTTTTAATTTTTATTCTATATTGAAGTGTTAACAAACATATTCTAGGTTCAGAAAACTTGTCAATACTATCATCAAAAATTTTTATTTATTTTGAATAATGATATATAGTATTTGAACTAAATATTTGCCAGGGTGGCCTCCTTTCAAGTAAATCCTGTACAATTGTATCAAATATCCTTTCATAAATATAGCACTAATTTGAGTTATATTTAATAAGTAACTACGTTTCAATAGTAAAGTAACACAATATCGTGTTTTCCTCAGCCACACAACACATTACCAATCTAAAAAGTGTATCAAGATCTGAATCACACTTTAATAATTCATTTAATGACTTCACATTTTTTCATGTTGTAACAAATATAAATTTATAAGTTTTTTAAATAAAAAATAGTGACATTATTTTACTTTTTTATAATACGGTTAATTAAGTATTATATAATAACATTTAAAATTTAAATACAGGTTTTTTATTTTTGTATTTTGATTGGTCATAATCTGGTCAGATTACAACATGCTTACCCTAAAAGACCTATTTTTCAAATTAGTAGCAATTTTAGACTTACTTATTTGGTAAATCAAGTAACTAATAATTTTTTTAATATTCTTATTAGGGTTCAGCTATATCATTTTTGAACATAAAAGAACAAGTTATTTTAAAAGATGTAGAAAAATATATAAAAGAAGGCACATCAGAAAAAAATGATATATTTCAACCATTTAATTTTAAATTGGAAGAAGTGGAGGGATTTAGATATAGAGCAAAAGATGCATGGAGAGCTGTTACAAAAATAGCTGTCAGAGAAGCTCGTCTAAAAGAAATAAAGACTGAAATGCTTAATTCTAAAAAACTAAAAGTATTTGAATTTAAATTAATATATTATATAAATGTGAATTTAATTAATTTTTTTCTATTATTTAATTTGATTTTAATAACAAATAAATAACTATAATCACCCACCTTATTTTTGTTGTTGTTGGTTCTTAAAAGTAATGGGTTAAAAATAATATTTAACTACTGTTTAATTAAAAATACTTTACCAAATTAATTCAGTAAAAGTACAATAGACAACAAATATAACATAAGATGGTAAATAAGATGCAACAACAATGACAATACAACTGACAGAGTCTAAAAAAAACAATTTACATAACAGCCTGATATTTTGTAATACTAAATAAGCATAAATTATAAATGTTTTATTGAACAGTAAATTAAATGATTACACTGAATTTTAATTTTGATTTCAACGTGAGTAAGATATTGTCTCTCATGCAATTTAAGTATTTAATACATTAAAGTCACAATACAGTGTTTTTAAATTAATTAAAAAAAAATTCATCTTATTTTAATTATAAACAAAGAATTTATAATATGCACAAAAATGATATTGTGTACAATATTATGTAAATACTTTTTGGAAGCATGTGTGGTATGTTAACGGAAGTAAAAAATTTTTTAAATTTCTTCCAGATCTGCGTATCATTGCAACATACGTAAAGAAAAAACCAGTGCGGATGAAGTGAAACTTCTTTCAGTCATTCAACTGATAGAATATTAGGTTTAAGTTGTTCAACTTGAACAACTTTTCGGTTACTTTGACTCGGTTCTTTTGTAACATATGTACCAGAAGCTTCGTCAGCACTATTGCCCATTGAATCTGCAGTTTTGAATTTTAAAATAACTTTGATTTTCGAAAATGCAGTACTAAATTATAACATAAAATAAACTTTACAGCCAACCGTGATGCTCGATAATGTTTTTTTTCGGACCCTCTATAAAGAAGTTTCACTTAAATATTTATTTTCCCTTTCCTAAATAATTCTGAACACCTTGCTGGGTATATATAAATTAAGTTATATAGTCTTATAAAAATATCTATGATAATAAAGCCATATAATTTTATTAATTACAATCTTACATGAATATATGCCTAGGTTTTGATAAAAATTTGTTTTTCTATCAAATTAAAAAGTTTAATCCTTAAAGGATAAAAAAAATACTACGGTATATTATAGTTCTTTTAAATCTATTAATTTTTATTTATAGAAAAGTTAACAACTTTTAATAGTTATTAAAAAAAATTAACATTTTAACTTAAATAGATTAACCTGTAGAGTATATACACTGCCAGTCAAAAAACTTAACAATTAGTTACTAAACACTTAAGTTTTGTAACTTATTTTTTAAGAAATTTGTAATAAATAAGTTTATTAAATATTAATGTTATATAAATTAAATGTATATTTAAAAAAACCCAGCACAGGTGGGTAGCGGCAAAGTGGTGACGTGGCATAGTTGGATCAAGTAAAATAATATCTAACAGTGATTAAAATCACTATAAAAAAAAGCGCTTCGATGCAAATCTTTAGATAGTGTTTAAATTAAAAAAATTGGTGGATTATTCCAAACGCTACATGATCTGCTAGTTCCTTATTAATATCTTGATTAAGATAAAGTATGTCGAATGAAAAAAGGATTATTAAAAAATATTATTTCTCATAAAAAAATTTTGTTGATCCATACACTTTTCAATAAGTTATAGCATTATAAAGTTAAAAATATAAAAATTAAAATCGACAATTTTCACACAAAAAATAGCATTTGGAAGCCATTTTCACTGTGAAGACAAAGTAAAGTCAGAAATTTTTTTTTTTCACATAATAAAGTATATTACATTATCTTTAATTTAAGATATATATAAATTGTAAGACTTTCTGGAACACTATAAAAGTTAAGTTGAAAAAGTTAATTTTTTGTGAAAAAGTTGTCATTTTAAATCTACCCCTATGGGCAGGTAAAGGGTCAGATTTATAAAAAAAAATATATCAGATAGGTAAAGACATCAAGCATCTATAAAAAAAAAAATTATTTTGATTTGGTCATTTTTTTAAAAGTTATGACAGTTTTAAGAAAAAAATTTCGAAAATTAGCGATTTTTAAATTTGTAATTTATTTGGAGGTTTCCCCCATTAATGGGAAACGAGGGAAATTTTTTCAATTTTTGAGGGTAATGTCATCGACTAGATACCATTTGTGATCTTTTGACCTATCATTGAAAGAAATCAGTTGAAGAGAGCTGAAAAAAGTGGTAACACACACAAAAAAAAAATAAATAAAAAAAAACATCGAAGCTAAAATCATTGAAAGTGTAAGCGCACTTGTTTACTATTAATTAACTTAGAAATTCATGAAACTTAACAAAAAATTGGTAAATCTCTACAGGTAGTAAGAAACTAGTCAAAATGATCAATTTAAAGGTATTTTCTTAGTTTTAAAAATTTTCTCCTATATCCGAGTTTTTAACAATAACTGTATATATTCTTTTTTAGCTTCTATGAGAAGCTGAGAACGTATTAATTTTACTAAGATGTTTTTTTTTT